CGTAGCCTAATACTATATGTGTGTTGGGCGTATATTTGCTGTTCCGGATATTATCCTGAATGAATGCTGGGCTTAACCTGTACAATGTATGTTTCTGTTCGTGCCTGTCTCTGCACTCTGTCTTTGGCTCTACCTGTCTCTGTCTGTCTCTGTCTCTCGATGGGGCTGCTCTCTCGTGAATACAGCTCTGTCTGCTCCTCCTTCGCTACTCTGGCATCTCATCTCTACTTCTACTACTACATGACGGTGCGTAGCTAGCCTTTTCATGTCATCGATTCTCCCTCTGAAATTCCTGTTCGTAGCGCTCTCTCTCTGCTCTCCTCTACTCTCTCTCTCTACTGATCTCTCTCTCTCTTCCCCGTCTCTCCGCTCTCTCGTCTTTCTTCGTCTTTCTCTCCACTCTCTCTCTCCTCTCTCCTCTCTCTCTCTCTGCTCATCTGCTACTCTCTCTTCTTTTCTCTCTCTCCTCTTCTCTCCTTATCTACCTCTATTCTATCTAATCATATCAATCATGTAATCTGATATCCGTACCGTCCTCTCACGTCTTTTATTTATCGACTGAGTAAGGTCCGAGAGAAAAATATCTTACTTCATTGTGGAATGTCGTACATTTCTCTTGTGATGCATTTGCGAGTGCTTCCCGCCTTTAAGTGACATCCAATCGCTAACAGTATAGGATATTATCCTCTGTGATATTATCCATTTTATCGCAAAATCGAGAATCTGATAGTATCATATTTCCAGATGACACTGGTTGTTAGTGATCGCATGTGCACTGATTATTCACTATTTAAAGAGCAGAGAAGAGTCAGATTACACTGTACTGCTGTAGGCTCAATGGCACCCCGATGTGTCAAAACACGAAAAGTGACAGAAGATCAACAAAAAATGTAAGAAAGGGAAAATCTAGTATAATAATGAAGCTGAATACTACTCCACAGTATGTTATAGCTTCGCATGCACCGGATTCTTAAAAAAAAAAAATGCCTGTAGATCAAGCTGGATTATTCTACCAATGGAGAAAGGAAATTCAATGACCAGGAATAAGGCATTTATCGGTCAAACCATGATGTCCACCTTGCTAAGAATACTATCCGAAAATAGACTAATGTTGAATGTTAAATCTCACAGAACAGTTGCTCGATGTTGGCTCATGGCGAATCGTCGCTGTCATCTCGTATATTTTTTCTTAGCATGCCTGGTAGACACTGTCATGTGAACGTCTGCCTGATCGTACAAAATTTCGCAACATCGACCCACCACGCTTGTACTTATCAGCGACAGCACACTGAACAACAACATCACACACAATCCTACATCAGCAATGAACAATCTTGAGACCCC